ACGTTTTCAAAGAGAGACTTGGAACCAACACGTCCTTTAGGCTGCATCTCGGTTTTCTGTTGTGTAGATGTTTTCAACTTTTGTGAATACAACTCAGGGTCTGAAGAAGTAAAAACACGCAACATCAATAAAGATGAAATCATCGATTTTTTGTTACTTTTACAGTGCGAATCGAAAAGCCGCCCCTTAAAATATTTCGGAAATGTTTATTGTTTATTGACCAATCAAAAGCAAGTTCAACCGTGACGGTCATCTAAGTGCATTTTCACGTGAAAATGTGTTCAAAACTTCAATGTTACAAATAAATAAAACTAGTAAAAGCTCACAAATAATAAAATTTCGTAATTTAGAATAATTACAAAGTTTGCTCATTTATGTTTTACATTATTATTTTTTGTTTGTCAGCTGAGTCCACAAATATTTCTAGGCGGGTACGGCTTTTCGATTCGCACTGTAATATCAGTTGAAAAACTGTATTGTTAGAGCTTGTGACAATCAGTTCTCGTGACAATCAGTTCTCGACACAACAAAGGACTGCTTCCATTCGTTATATTCCGMAAAGCAAAACAATCGCTAACAGATTGAATTTTTTTTTGAACTTCTGTTCAGCCTTCAGTTACCATTTTGATGCATTTTAACTGTAAATCGTAAGGAAATGTGAACTTAAAACATCAATTGCGCATGATCTATGCACTGTCTATTTCATTCCTTGATTAGTTATTATTTCTTAGTTATTATTATTACTTTTTTTTGTAATTTTGATGTACATAATATTTTCCTTTTTTTTCCTTTCATATAAACCATAATACCTTCCATTAGTCGTAGAAGAAACGTTTTGTACGTCGTCACGAAACCGAAAACGCATGAAATCTAAGCTAGTAAAGGTTAAGGACTGGTGTGACACAAATAAATTATCCATAAATATGACTAAAACTAATTTCATGAGTCAAATCTCCGCAAAAAAGGGATGCTGTTATCAATATCAAAATCAAAAACGGCAACTCTTCACACCCTTTGGAAAGGAAAAGTCAAATTAAATACTTAGGTGTTATGATAGATGATGCTCTGAATTGGAAATGTCATATAGCGTTTATATGCTCTAGGTTATCTCGTAACACTGGCATAATTTCCAAGCTAAGGCACTATCTATCCTTAAAACATCTAAGGAAGTTATACTACAATTTGATTTATCCGTACCTCTCATACGCAATAATAGCATGGGGTAGCACTTATAAAACGCATCTTAAAAAAATGCAGACTGAACAAAATCATGTTATCAGATTGATCTTCTTTGCTAATTCCTATGGAAAAGAAACAGAAAGTGCAAAAMCTTTGCTAAATATTTTAAATATCTTAAATGTTGACAATATATATCGCCTGCATATTTCAATTCCAGTACATCTTAAATGTCAAACTCCGTCTTCCTTTAAGAAAAAAAAGGCGCTTAAAAAGCGCTTGTGGTTACTCCAAAAA